TATATATTTAAATATAATAATTTATTGAATTTTAAGTACTTATAATATAAGTTTTTATTATATGAGAATATTAAATAAAATTTTTTAATTAAATTATTACGTTTAAATATACATGTTGGTAAATATTTATATAATTTTAAAATATTTAAATATATTATTATTTAAGTATTTATAAGATGTCTCATTTTAAAAATTAAAAAATTATAAAATAATATTAATTAAAAATATAATAAAAATTTAAAAGTAACTAAATATTTTTAAAAAAATGACATTATGTATCAAATACTATTAAAAATAATAATAATAAATATATTATTAGTCAATATTCACTTGATTTTAGTTTATAAAAAAATTGATATTTCATTTCTTTAATTCAAATTAACATATAAAATATTTGTATGGTTATCTATTAATTTAAATTGATGAAACAAAGTTTCAAATAATTTTTAATTTTTTTTTAAATTTAAAAACTTAATTTATCCATTAAATTTTTTTAATTTAACGGTTGAATCATTAAAATTTAACATAGAAAATGAGTTTTTTTTTAACAGCAAATAAAATATATATTATATTGGTACACAGGGTACCATGACCTATATACAAAATTATATGACTATTAGAATTGGTATAATCCACCAACTGCATATTCCCCACATTAGATTACCAATACCCATATTACCCCAGTTGATATACGACCCTATGACCCTGTATTGAATGTTTTTCCAACGATTTCATGACAGTATTGTCATTTCATGCTTCATGGCAACAGGTTGTGACACTTCCTTGAGATTGCAAGCCCCAATCAGTACCCTGATAAACAAATACACGGACCAGGGTTGCAACACCACTGGGTGAAAGTGAAGCCAAATGATTTTTTGAGAGATGACAACAACCTCCAGCTGCACATCAAAATATCCCTCATTATATCATCATGATTGAAAGTCCCTCCTTGAAATATGCATTTGTTTCTATGCCTCCATAAAGTCTAGGTTGTGGCCATCCACAATATGTACCACTTTTCCACCTTATCTCGTGAGTGTAACATTCCAGGTAGAAAACTCAAATGCTGAATAACCTGCATAGAAAGTGGTGAAGGACAATTAATCCAAGAGAGGCATTGCTTCCATACATTATCACTAAGAGGGCATGTGTAGAAAATGTGAGATACTATTTTCGCATCAGACTTGCAAAACGAGCATAGAGTTTGTTGGGGCTCAAGTGTGATGTTTCTTCTAACTAGATTGCCAACGATTGGGATACCAGAGTTAACCAATCTCCACATGAAATAATGAACCTTCGGTGGAGCAGGGATAGACCAAAAGAAGTATGGAGCATTAGTTTCACCCACCAACAATGAGCTAGCATATATAGTTGTATAGGCTAATTTGATTGAGAACATGCCAGAAGGTTCGCATTCCCAACTCCATGAGTCCACCCGATCTCTTTGAAAGTCAGTATTCTCAATCGGTTGAAGTAGCTAATGCTCTTGTGAGACCTCCCACTCGAATCTGTTCCTTCTCCACCTCAACTGCCATTCCCATCTACCATCCACGCACCCACCCATTTCAGATATCGATTCCTACAGCTGCATAGAGTTGGTGAATAACCTTGGAAATGTGACTGCAAAGCTAACGAGTCTGGCCCAGTTGTCGAGCCAGAATCTCACCTTATCCCCCACCCCTATTTTCCATTTGACAACTTTGTCAAACCAACTTTCGACTTCCACACCACCACATACTGAAATAAGGTCCCTCCACCAAATAGAATCCTTGCTTGTTGCTGATTGTGCACACATATTGTACCCGCCACCATACCTAAACTATAACAACGTGCTCCATCCTGAATTATGCTGATGTAAAATGTTCCACCTCCATTTTGCTAGTAATGCCTTGTTGAAATTATCAATGTCTTTCACGCCCAACCCACCATTATTTTTAGGAAGGGTCACCCTATCTCACTTTATCCAACAAATCTTCCGTTGCTCATTCTTAGACCCCCAGAAGAACCGTCTTTGCATAAAGGTTATCACTCTATTAATCACCCTTGGAACCTTAAAAAAGGACATGTAGTATAGGGGGAGCGAGGTTAAGACAGAGTTTATAAGACACACCATTCTGGCCATGGATAATACTCTACACTTCCATGATGATAATTTCTTCCTTATTTTATCAACAACAGGTGCCCAAGTCTCTTTTTTCCTTGGGTTAGCACCAATCAGAATGCCTAAGTAGGAAAACAATATAGGAAGAAATATGCAATTTAACAAATTAGTGTAGTTGATGACAAATGACCGCTCAATACCAATTGCACCAAACTTGCTCTTAACAAAGTTAACCTTCAGCCCAAAAGACTAGCTCAAAAATCTAAGAATACTTTTTATGGCGACCACATTCTCCAAACTTGCCTCACCAAAAAATATAGTATCATCAACGTACTGAGCAATACTAACAAAGACATGTTGGGTGCCCACCTTCACATCAGAGAACCTATTACTTCATTCCGTTTCCCTCATCATCCCTAACAACCCTTCTGCAACCCTTCTGCAGCCACAATGAAAAGAAAAAGGGCCAATGGATCACCTTGCCTCAATCCTCTCTTAGGTGAGAATTCTTCCGATGGGCTACCATTGACCAAAACGGATACCCTAGATGTTATTAAACACTGTTCAATCCACTTCACCTATTTACCACTGAATCCCAATCTATGTAACATGTCTAGTAGATACTTCGAACATATAGAATCATATGCCTTCTTATAGTCCACTTTGAAGATGATTGTTGGCTTCTTCAATCTCTTTGCCTCATTGATGACTTTGTTCGCTATCACCACACTATGCAACATATTCCTACCATCCAAAAAGGTGTTTTGTCTGTTGTTAATAACATATGGAAGCACTTTTTTCAACCTGTTATCCAATATTTTGGACAATATCTTATACATGCAACCAACCAAGGAAATAGGTCTATAGTCATTGAGGCCTTGAGGAACTTTTTTCTTAGGGATTAAAGTTATGACCATTGAGTTTGATCCCCTCGATTATTTCCTGTTACCATGAAATTCCCTAATGAAGTGACATATATCACCACTCAATGTATCCCAAAATGCCTTTATAAACTTGAAATTAATTCCATCGGGCCCTGGACACTTAGAGCTGCCACACTCCCATACTGCATAATGTATCTCAAGATCAGAAAATTGAGTTGTAAGCATATCATCATGCCCCTGTATAATTGTTTGGAACTGTGTACCATCCAACGTAGGCCTATCCACACATTGCTCCTCAAACCTATGCTGAAATAACTCCTTAACATGTTTTTTTATCCTCCTAGGTTCTTCAGACCATGCCCCATCAATAAATAGACCTTTCAAGGCATTCTTTCTCCTTCTCCAATTAACCATAAAATGGAAGAATTTTGTGCTTAGGTCCCCTTCTTTTAGCCAAGATACCCTAGCTTTTTGGGCCATGATAGATTCATTCCTCACTAGTACCTTCCAAAATTCATTCTGTAAATCCGATCTATTCTTACACTCTTCTTCAGTCAATCCATATTCCTCATCCTTTTTATCAAGCTTGTTCAAGTTAGTGATTATCCGCTGTTGAACTACTTGCGAATTTAGGAAGATATCAGAGCAACTCTAATGGGAGTTGCTTGGCTCATCAAGCAACTCCAACATGAGTTTCTTACCATTGGAGAAGGCTGAGGTGGCAGCAAGAGTTTCTTGCAGAGGAGAGAGGGTTGCTTCACTAAGCAACGATTGCTTACTTTTGTAAACTGAAGGAGGCGCGACGGAGGACGGCGGAGGCGCGCCGTTGGACGGCGACAGCGCGCCGGTGGACGGTGGCAGCGCGCCGGTGGACAGCGGAGGTGGGCGTTCTGCTGCAGATGGACAACGGAGGTGGACATTCTGCCGCCGGTGGAAAGCGGAGGCGCGCTGGTGGACAGCGGAGGCGCGCCGGTGAACGTTCTGGCTGGACCTGCGCGCGGCAGCGGCAGCTGCGGTGGTAGATGGTGTTTGAAGGTGGAGTTGGAAGAAAAGGAAAGGGGGAGAAAAAATGAAAAAACCCTTTACGAAGAGAAGAAGAAGAAAACGAGCGTTTAAAAAATAAGAAATAAGAATTAAAAATTTAAAAATTTAAAAATTTAAAAATTTAAAAAATAAAAAAATAAAATATAAAATAAAAAATACCTTGAAAGTTCCGTTGAAGACTTGAAGTAGCCGTTGGCATTTTTTTTTAAAAAAAAAAAAGAAAAAAAATCATTATAAATAGGCATCAACTCAATTAAAAAATTTGGACCTCTTTAACTCTCTTCTACTTCTTTTATCTTGTTTGTTTTGCTCTCAAAAATGGATCCTCAATACAATCATCAAAATTTTTTAAATTCTTTCCAAAACCAACCACCACCGACGAGTGCAAATTCTCAAATTCCTCCGCAATATGTTATGTATCCACCATCTTATTTTAGTGAAAATTCTCAAAATCCACCACCTTATTGGTCAACACCACAATATTATATGTTTCCAACACATCCACCTAGTGGTGATAATTCTCAAGGACCACAATTTTTTAGTCAACCACCACCTCTCACCAACCCAAATGCATGTTATAGGCCTTCTCCTGTACACAATATTGACACTCCTAATAGTGAACCTCAATCACCAATTGGTCTCGATGGAATTCAACTAGATGGAAGTGCAGAGAATTCGTCAACAAAAAAAATTGTGTTCCATTCACAGTTGAAGAAGATATTATTCTCGTGAGGTCATGGGTCAATACGTTGAAGGATCAAATCATAGGAGTTGATCAAACGTTACGATAATATTGGTCAAGAATCACAGAAGCATACAACAACGATGAAGACCGTGGCGAGTTCAGAGAGAGAGAATCGACTCAACTAAAAGCACGTTGGAATCGAATTCATCCTGCAGTTCAAAAATTTATTGGTTGCTATAAACAAGCAATTAGTCAAAAGAAAAACGGGAGTTCGGAGAAAGATGTCATGGCATTCGCACATAAGATTTACACTCAAGATACAGGTAAAATATTTGATATGGAGCATGCATGGGTCATTTTGAGAGATGAACCTAAATGGCAATTTGATTTCGTGCAACACAATTCAAAAAGAGGGAAGGTAACGTCTACATGTGGTTACTCTTCGTCTTCCAACATAGAGACACCCATTGAACTTGATGAATATGAGATACCAACGCCAACATCCCGTCTGATAGGACAAAAGGCAGCCAAAAGGAAGGCCAAAGGAAAAGAAACTTCCAATACTAATGTTGTTGATTTTTCTGGCATAGAAAATGCAATAAAGGAGAAAAATGCCTATGCATCAAGACTAATTGAGTTGAAGGAGGCACAAGAAAGACGTTTGGCATATGAAACCATAATGAAGGATACTTCCAACATGAATGAGACTCAACATGAAGCTCATGAAAAGTATTGTAATTATCTTAAATAACAATATGGGTTTTAATTTCTTTTAGGGTTTAGGGAAGTATTTGAGTTTTAATTTATTTTATTATTGTAATTCAAATTTTGTTGTTATGAAACTAGTTGTTGTAAAACTAGCCGTTGTAAAACTATTTATATGTAGACTTTGTCATCTAATCCTACTCATTCTCACATCTTCTCTCACACAAAATCCCCATCTATTCTTCTTCGATTTTTATATTGATACGTGATGGATCGAAACAACAATTTAGATGATCCAAACATCAATTTAGATGATCTTTTGGATCAATTCATAGATGAGGAACTACACGACAACAACGATGAAGAATTGATCTAGTTGATGATACAAACCTATCAACAACAACTTCCCAACACCACAAGGTCAAACCAAACAAGGAGGGTAGTTCATCGAAATCGTGAGGAAGGTCATGAACGATTGTTCAATGACTATTTCTCTAAAAATTCAGTATACACAGAAACTCAATTTCGAAGACGGTTTCGCATGCGACGACATGTGTTTCTCCGAGTTGTAGATGTCATAAGCAATCATGATGAGTACTTTCGAATGAGGCTCGATGTAACACGTAGAAGGGGCCTATCACTGTTGCAAAAGTGCACAGCTGCTCTTCGTATGTTGGCTTATGGAACACCTTCTAACTTTGTGGACGAGTATATTAGAATTGGTGAAACCACTGCAGTGAAATGCTTACAAAGATTCGTGAAAGGAATTTGTGAAATATTTAGGGGTGAGTATCTGAGACGCCCTAATAACGAAGACATTTAACGACTACTACGGATCGGAGAGGCACGTGGGTTTCCTGGAATGCTCGGTTCAATTGACTGTATGCATTGGGAATGGAAGAATTGTCCAGTTGCGTGGAAAGGTCAATTTTGTCGAGGTGATCATGCCAACCCAACAATCATTCTTGAAGCTGTTGCATCACAAGACTTGTGGATTTGGCACGTATTTTTTGGAACTGGAGGTTCGAATAATGATATTACTGTGTTAAATGCATCTAATGTATTTAACGAAATTCTTTTAGGAACTGCTCCGACAGTGCAATACACCGTGAATAGAACCCAATATAATATGGGTTACTATCTAGCAGATGGAATATATCCAGACTTTGCTACATTTGTCAAGACCATCTCCATGCCACAGGGGAAAAAAAGGAAATTATTTGCCCAACGACAAGAATCAACGAGAAAGGATGTAAAACGTGCATTTGAAGTGCTTCAATCTCAATTCGCAATCATACGAGGTCCGACACGTTTTTGGGATGCCGCAATAATGAAAAATATAATTTATGCATGTATCATATTGCATAACATGATTGTCGAGGACGAGCGAGACACCTATCAAAATTATATTGATTATGATGGTGTAGATGATGACATGTCAAGATCTGAAATATCTATAGGTGCTCATCCCAATTTTAGAACAACATACCTTCATAGGAGAGCAGACGTTCATGACAAACGAATACACCGCCAACTTCAAGCAGATCTTATTGAACATATTGGAATGTTTCGAAAATAATAATGATGAAAATTAATTTCGTATAATGTTTATGTATTTATTATTGCTTTATTTTATTTTTAATATCTATTTATTGTGTATTTTTTCTCATAATTTATTTTCTTTTATTGTAGTGCAATTGTCCTTTTTAATAAAAATTTTAATTTGGTTCATAAATGATTTGAAAAAAAATTCTAAAAGTTGAATTTCTTAAAGTTTCTTACCATTGGAGTAAATTTCTGTTTGAGTTGCTTAATGCTGACATGGCACAGTGGGGACCACTTTTTTCAGTTTCCAATGCATGAAGCAACTCAAATGAGTTGCTTCCATTGGAGATGCCCTAAGAACTCCACTCCTTCAAGCATCCTTTAAGTATCCACAGGACTAAAATTCTCATTGTTTGTGCTAACTCTTTTTGATGAATACCTGATATTATTAAAGTCTCCAACTAGACACCATAGCCCAACATTACTGTTTGCCTTCTTTTCAATCAAATCCTCCCATACCGCATTCTTCTAAGCCCGATTACATGGTGCGTACACATTGATAATAACTACCCTCTCTCCATTTTCTTTCCATACTCCATCAAGACCTAAGTATGCAAACCCTCTAAAATGAGATATCAACTCGAACTTGTCCTTTTTCCATATGCTTAATAAGCTGCCCCCCATGTTTATGGTTGGGGTTGACTTCCACTCACAGTCCATTCCACCCCACATAGCATGGCAAACCCAATTGGAGATATCCTCTCTTTTAGTTTCTTGAACACACAACAAATCGATATCTTCGTCACCCACCAATTTCATAATGTATCTTCGTTTAATCTTTCCCCCTAAGCCCCTGACGTTGAATGTTAGCATCTTCATAGACCACCATCATTGATACCCATCTGAGCATTTTTAATTACCACTTCCTTTTCTTTTTTATCTCTTTTTTTCTAGCTCAATCAAATTGTCAAAAATGTGTTCCTCCACAGAGTTGTGAGTCACTCCTATGGCCTTTCCAAATTCCCAAATTCTCTTTGCCTCTGTCACCTCATTTTTTAGCCAAAAAGCTCTATTGCAATTTCTAATGTCTCCACCAGAGATTGAATTACTAGAGGAAAATGGAGGACACCTGGCCTGTTTTCTCCCAGCTGGTTTCATAAAATTCCCTTTCCCCTTGTTACGGGGAATATAAGAATGCCTTCTTCGCTCCACTTCCTTCGATTGAGTATCACAGGCTCTGCTATGGGTTTTGACAACAATAGTACATGATGTGCGGGTACATTCCTTGCTCATGATCATCATGTCTTCATTGTCACCCGTTAGCATCTTTGCACCCACATTATTTGAACCCCTTAGTTTTGGGTACATTCTTTGGGCGTGTCCATCACTTTGGACTAGCGCACGTACCTCGAGTTGGGGCACACCTTTATCTTCATCAAGGCATTCTTGCTCTAGGTCCATCGTCTTTAGTTACTCCTCTGTCACATGAAAGCCCTTGATCATTGAAATGTCTGTACTATTGATTGGAGAGGAGCGTTGCACAAATGAGTTGTTTCCACGATCGAGATTGCATATGGGTGGCACATCAAGCCCGTGTAAGATGTGAAGTTCACAACCTAAGTCTACCACAATAGAGTCTTTATTCAACCTATTTTCCTTATCATGGATTGGGCCATCAGTCAAATTAATGTGTTGGGCTGTTATGTTGCACCATCTCCACATGGCACATTAGGCCTTCCTTTAACATGCCCATTGTGTCACAAGTATCCAGCCCATTAAGGTTTTTATGAGCCCGATCCACCTTATCATCCTTACTCAATGTTGCCTCCCCTACCACTACAAGGTGACCATTACCTACATCCTATGTTCTCATTGCATTTAATGCTCCATTTTCCCCACCGACAGCTTTCTTCGACAAGTCCTTGTCATCCCCAATTCCAACCAGAGCTTCATAGTCCTTGTTCCATTCTGTAAAGCCAACATCCTATGAACCCACCGTCGACCCATTTAAGTTTTGTCGTATCGTTTTGCAAATATGACTCTCCTTTTCGACTTGTTTTCCATCAGCCGCCCTACTACGTGACAACATAGCCACGTCCATCGGACCATTGTGTATTGTTCAATATGTCATAATTCAAACCTTCTTAACTGTTACTGCTCCGATGTCCATCTCTACCTCCGTTTCCCTCCACTGCATCACTTAAATCATCTCCGTATTCATCCATAGAAGATGAGGACATGTTTAAAGATTCATCATTATCATTAGAGGGTATTAAAGACGCCTGGTTACACCACATCCAATAGTTACATTGATTCACACCCACAACAACCTCTTCCATTAATCTTACCTATGTTGTGACTAGGGATGACAAATAAACCCATACCCGTGGGTAATACCCAAACCTATCCCGACTTTAACGGGAAATACCCAATTTGACCGGATACGGGTATGAGTACGGATAAAATCCGATATATTAAACCGAGTATGGGTATGGATACAGGTATATACTTACTCGCCTCGTACTCGTCCCCATCCCCATCCTCGGTTTAATACCCACCCCCAATATAATTGTGTTAAAGAATTGTAATATTTTATTATGTGTAATTATTTATTATAATGTGAAACATTTATAGTTGTTTAATTCTTAAGAATTCTCTTGATTAAAATATGAGATAGAAAAAAACCTAATTATAATTGTAATATAATAAAAAAAATTTAAAAATATTGTTTATTTTTTTGCAAAAAAAAAAATAGTTTTTGATCTCGCTATATGTATATATATTAAAAAAATAATAACAACACAGATAACTAGGGATGACAATGGGGCCCCATGGGGGCGGGTAATAGTAAACCCGGCCCGCTCCCGCCGGATGAAAATTGGCCCCATACCCATCCCATATCGCGCGGGTATCCATTAAACGGGTATCCATTAATTTCTTAAATACCCACGGATATCCATGAATATCCATGGATATTTATAAATCTTTTAAGAAATTAAAAAAAAATTATATTATAAATAATTTTAAGTTTATATTTAATGTCATTAAAATATTAAAAATAAAAATTCAGTGTTAATTTTGAACTTATATGTAACATTAATTTTTTTGAAATAATAATAAAAATACAAGATAATTAATGACTTAAAATACATCAATTTCACAAGTAAGTTAAAGTCTCATCACAAAGTTACAATAATTCAATCTCATAATTTCAAATGAAAGTAAATAACTTAAAATACATAAATCTTATTGGTCCAATCAAATTACATCCAACATAATTATATAACATGCTTAACACATGTTAGTAACTTCATCAGCCTCACTTTTGTAAGAAAATAAGATGAGAGAGTATAGTTTTAGGATTATGTGGTACAAGGATAATTAGGATATTTAAGAAATATTATTAAACGGGTATCCGCGGGTATGGATATCATCATACCCGCCCCCGCCCCATTTATAAACGAGTAAAAGATTATCCGTCTCCATTATCTACGGGTACTC